CATGCGATCCTTACATCCTGAGGCAAAAGTTCATACCACTCTTATACGATTGACTGGTATACACCACTCCCTGGCTCTAACTGCGTTGCGTCCAATAATGCGTATAATCGCTTAATCCCTTTTCAGATCATCGGTGTTCACATGGCCCTTTCATTATCGCTAACGGGACAAACTGAGCAAGCAATAAATTTACCTCTATAACAGTTGGTATCCAGCTGCAGCGTGGAAGCCAGTCGGAGATCGCACACCATAGGATTTATGGAACTCTGGGTGAGTCACCCAAATACTTGACTGTTCAACTCTAGATGAGTATGGTAAGGGGTGAACTCTACAACCAGTGCAACCTCAGGCCAGTGTCTCAGGTGTCCGAGAACTTTGTCCCGGGCTGTTCTGTCATATGAATGCGAGTCTTGGCCTATTCAAAGGACGGAACGTAAACGTTTCCAGGTGTTCAAAAACGTTCTTTCTTTAGAGAATACGCAACGGGGCAACTGAAAAGCGTGCCCTGGTTTGTGCAACGGGGACCTCCAACGAAGAATGTTTTCAGCATTAGCAGCTGCGCCGGTTAGGCCATGTTATTTGCATACCAAAGCATCGGTTGCCGTAGAAGGGTCGTTTGTCGTGCTCAGAACAGTGTGGCGGAAGAAGAGGGGTGACTAACCCTTGATCTGGAATAGGGGTTCGAAAGAGAACGAAAGATTTTGGTGCTGTTGTTACTACGCGCTTTCCGGGATGGGACTACGAAATTCCCATTGCGCTTTATTGAGGACACTGCAAGATATGTTTGCCAATCGGTGTCAATGGCATGCTTGTTGTCAGTTTTCATCTAGATTGACACACACAACAGAGCCCGAGAATATTCCGAAAGGGCAGGCAGATTCCGGCATGTTGCGTGTCCGAGGTGTGGAAGCTTTTCTGTGTATAACCGGATGCTGAACATCACAAACGTATGCACATTAACTGGTCCGTTTCCAAGAAGAGAGCCCAAAGCAGGCAAAACTAACTGAAGCAGAAGTGGAAGGACGTTGGAATTTAGTGCTATTATCGAACAGATTTGGCGCCAAATACCCGATCACCCGCCTTATCTTCGCTACTACTCTATCCGTTGTGGAACCCCTGACAGCGCATGCGATCCTTACATCCTGAGGCAAAAGTTCATACCACTCTTATACGATTGACTGGTATACACCACTCCCTGGCCCTAACTGCGTTGCGTCCAATAATGCGTATAATCGCTTAATCCCTTTTCAGATCATCGGTGTTCACATGGCCCTTTCATTATCGCTAACGGGACAAACTGAGCAAGCAATAAATTTACCTCTATAACAGTTGGTATCCAGCTGCAGCGTGGAAGCCAGTCGGAGATCGCACACCGTAGGAGTTATGGAACTCTGGGTGAGTCACCCAAATACTTGACTGTTCAACTCACAGCCGCTCACTGGATCGCGAGGCTTGTCTTATTGCTCATACTCACAAACAAGTCGCATTAAGCTGACTCATCGGACATCCATTGTCTGCACCGCCTAGTCAGCATAACAACTACCCATAAGCCGACGCTCCCGCGTACACGCACTGGGACCTACATAAAGGGAAACCAAACCCAGTCACAACACACAGACCCGCGCGCGCGCAGGGAGCAAGGAGTCAGATAAGCACTCCTAGTCCACGGACAATCTTGGAACACGTGTACAGCCAAGCTGCGGAGAAAACACGTTCCCGCCGTCCGGACTTTCACCAAGGGACCCTCTCAGACGTTAAGTTCCTTTCTTTGACTCGCTCCCATCTCGCACTGCATTTATTTTTATACGTGTCGCAACCATACTGAAAACTTCTATTAGTGCACATACACCTTCTGAGTTGTATTATTGCTATCACCAGCTGTGCACCAATAATTCAAGTGCAGCAACTTTGTTCAATCATATTTTTTCGGTGACATTGAGAAAGAGCTGTAATTGATCATACTTTTTCGTTTCAGAAACCCTTTCGAGTGAAATCGTCTTCCTAAAAAAGAGTATTGGATTGACAACACATTGCGTTCACCCCGATACAACCAGTAAACAGAAGCATTCCGTCATGGGTGGTTGTGTATTTTTAAGGAGGGCACTTTGTAGACGGATTGCATTCATGAATATGAAGGATTGCCGTTGTTCGTTGGATCAAGTTGTTAGTTAATCAGCTGCCTTCATGGCATCACGGGAACCTCATTTCAGTTGTTCGTCTCCTATTTGTCAGACAGGAGACAAACAACGCAAATCGGGGACATGCAATCATCTCCACTACCGATCACTAGCGGAGCCATCCAAGGAAGCGTGCTAGGCCCCACCCTTTTCTCACTGTACACCAATGACGTCTTTGGCGCCACATCCCACGGTAATGCCTTCCTCTTCGCGGACGATATAAAAATCGCGTACACATTCCCCACCTCTGCAAAAACCCTTGCCTTTCACCAGATTAAGGAAGACCTAGATTCACTGACTAGCTGGTCAATCGACTCTGGCCTTAGCTTCTCCTCCACAAAATCCTGTATAACTTCCTGCCGCTGCTCTCTCCCGGC